ATAGGTGATGCAAAGACGAGCAGTCACATGTGCTTCCCTAAATCCCGAAGCCTTCACTGAAACCCTCAACGACAAGCCTGCGTATGAGGGGATGAGACCAGTCTTCGGCCCCTGGGCCCTGGGCCACTACGAAGAGCTCTTGACTTCATCGATTTTTGCCAGTCTTGGTCGTGAGGCGAGCGAACAGAAGCCCAACCCTAAATTCGTCATCTGCGGAGCATGGCACTTAAACAAAAACTCTGCATGCCAAACCTGGACCCGAAAGATTCGGAAGAAGCACCCGCAACCCCACCAGAGCGCAAATGTTCTGTGACAGTTATGGTAGTAGGTCCAAAAGGAATCGGAGCAGTGATAATGATGAGTGACAGCAGCAGAAACCGTACTAATAATCGAAATTCAATCATGATATGAATCATAAGAACAACTCCCCATGCGCTGAGGAAGCTACAGGGCGGCGACCTCGACTTGGAGCCTGTGAGCGAGGATTTTTGGTCCTGCGCCACCCGAAAGCAGACCGGTGAGTGTGAAATCTAACAATATATAGGATGTACTATATGATGATAATCACAATAGTAGCAGTAGTAATCATGATATTCGTAGAATTAATACAAACTCAACTCCGTGGACCGAAGGAAGCCTTAAGCAAGCACACCAAGCGGACCGAATCCACGGACATACAGCGAAGGCCGAGCAAAGGCGAGAGATCCTGGGGTCCCGAAACCTAAAAGCCCCATAGTTGACCAAAAGCAAGTATAAAACACAGAGAGAGACTCCCCAGAGAGGCAGCTGGAGGTAGGTACCAGGTGTCCACCAGGGGGAAGAGGTCTTCTGTCACCACATATTTCCTGAATGGCTGTGGCGTTTGATTTGGGCATGTTGACCCAAGGGCCCGGAAACAGCACTTCCTTCAACGGCGGTTGGTGGAGACTCTGTGTTCCATGTTGAATTGAGCCGATCCCGTCGGGCATTAAACACTCGCCTTTTGGAAAGGCTTGGGGAATGTTCGAACGCCGCCAAACGCACTGAGCGCAGGAAGACAGCAGCACATGCGCTATCCGCAAATAATGCAAAACCACGGGGTTCTTGGGTGTCAAACAACCTCACGAACAGCCGAAATAGTGCAGAGAACCTGGTGAGCGGGTGACTGCATGCATACATCCTCTGTAACCCTGAGCCCACCAGCCTAGTTTGTCCGCTGGGTCGATGGAGCGACCCGCTTGTACCTGAGAATGGTGGATGACTTGACCCGGCTTTGTCACAAGTCGGGGCGGTATGGGTGTGGGGCTTGTGTTTATCTCAGGCGACGTGCACGCTGCACAACCCACCGACGAATCGGCGATGCGAGGTGCGACGGCTCGGGGGCTTTCGAGCCTTGTGCCACCACATCTTCAAGAGCTGAAGCCCAAGAATCCCGAACAAATGCTGAGCAGCAGCTATTGCAGCAGAACTTCAGTGGTCGACTTGCGGAGGGCCTGCACCAGTGGAGGCCTGCAACAGCCGGCGCCCTGCCTGTCTATCTGCAAACACCACGGCGCTGGGCATCTACGCAGAGCAGCCGATGGTGCCTCCACCTCCTGAGGAGATGCACACAGGGTAGGTGTCAGGTGACCTGAGCATGGACTTCGCAAAACACTGTCTCTAGCGGGGGATAGGCTCCAAAACATCCCGAATAGCATCAGTGTTGCAGTCCAGTGCCTGTGGCTCAGCTTGCCCAATGCCGCACCGCCAGAGTGTCGTGAGGACAGCATGGGTCTTTGTGCGAATTGTGGCAGCGTTGACGCCGGCTGGGCCAGCGAGGAGCCAGCGGACTGCGACTCCAAAATAGCTATGTCTAACAGTCTAACACACTGTGTTCTGTGACAGAAGTCGTGGGTTCTACCCTGGAATCGCCTAGTTTCTAAAGCTGAGTCTAGGGATTAGCTTCATGTGGGCGATGTTCAAGCGAGGTCATGCCTTGTCAGAAACCCTGGACATCCCTGGACCCTATAAACCCGCTGAACTCTATGCATGATTGATTCTGATTACCTGGACCCCCAAGGTATGTATAATAATGGCCTTTTTATGGGTTTTGGGCTATTATTTTACCTACTTTCGGGGGTCTAGGTAGTCCCTAAACCTATGGCCTATGGACCCCTCAGCCGAGCCTTGACCCAGAAAGCCCTACGCTACTGTACTCATGCCAGGCCAAAGACGACGGGGAGCACCAGACGCCTCAAACTACGGCTGATGATATAAATCCTGCGAGTATACCATAATTCCCATAGTTAAGGGTCCTCAAGTAAGGCAATGCAGGATTTATATCATCAACCGTATAGATCTTGGCTTTCGAGGTCGAAAAGGTATAGCGACACGACAGCTTCACCTTCTCACAGGAGGCTGTGTTCTACTGCGAGACCTGCTGGGCGCAGTGGGCCACAGACACGGTGACGCTCGGAGGACAGAGCTTGCGCGTCGGCTTTGCTACATGATCTAGGACCTGGAGTAGGCCCTTATTCCCTTTTTTGTAGGGTTCAGGTTCTCTTATAAGCTCCTTTAAACCAAAAAGGGCACCCTTTTTATTCCTAGGCTACTCTTGGGTCTAGTGATACATTGGAACAGCACATCAAACTCATCAGACATATTGGGGACTAGATCGGCTTTCAGCTTTCCACGGCTTGCGTAGCTCACCGCTACGGCTAATATATAGGGGCCCAAATAATTGCCAATACTACTGTGGGGGTTCCTTGTTTTCAATATAGTATAATGGGCCCCAAAACCGTATTCTAATCATTAAGGCCTCTTACAGTACGGTGCTCCGAAGACTTTGGGCCGCCCCGAAGCGTTGCAGGCGACACGCTCCGCGCAGCCCGCAGCCCGCTCTCGGGAGCGGAGTTGGGCGAAAGTCAGATTAGTTCCCTGGCCGGGGACTGCGGGGGGGGCCGTAGGGTTTCCGCCTCTTGAAGCCTCCTGATCCTCATTAATCTTGTTACAAGGGACACAAGGCTGTGACACTGCAAGCCGGAAAGACCAGATGCCAGGGGTCTAGTTCGATCCACCCGATAGTTTGCACTTAAACGTGGCAAAGCCGCTGTTTCTGGCTCTGAAAGGGAAATGATTACATAGTGCTGGCAAACTCTTGATCGGCTTTTGGAAGACCCCAAAGCTGCACATGCCGTCATGATAGCCGAGTCCCTGAAGCAGAATTCAGAGAACCAAGGTGCAACCAGGTTCTTGCTTGGATTGTTTGTGGGAAGCCGTATAAACCCCTGAATCCGAATAATGAGTATCCCTTACAGCAACCCTCTCGATGGTCCTTGTAGTAGTAGCTCATATAGTACAAGAACCATACAATAAACCCTCATAGTGACCCTTGTAGAGTATGAGCCCTTTGTATCCCTTATACAACCCTCTTAACGGCCAGTATGGAAGAGTATAGCCCTTGGTATCTCTTATGGTAATCCTCTTCAAGACGTTTTTTGAAGTCTGGCGCTTCTGGTAGACCCTGTACCCTGAACCCCAGGCCCTAAACCCCAAAACCCTAAAAGTCGCCCTAAAACCCTGAACCCCTAAACCCTTGAACCCTCAAACAAAAAATAAGAAGCCGGTCAAAGGCGATGCCTAAACCCTAAAAGTAGCCCTCAACCCCGTCAAAGGCAATGGCTGGGCCTTAGTCCCAGAAGCTGCCCTCCTCGGGCGGGTGGGCAGCGACGGCGGAACCGCTGGCGAGTTGGCGTCCTGGCACGTCGTCTTGGGCGAGGTTTCGGGAGGTTTTGCGGGTGGTTGGTTAGGGTAGACACGTCAGGATTTGGGTTTTGGGTTGAGGGTCCGCTCTTCGTCAGCGAGTAGTAGATGCCACGTGCTTTGCTTCCAAGCTTTGAGGCGCAGCCCCCGCCGCGTATGGCCAAGAAAGGCGGGAGGTGGGGCGTCCGCGGAGACCGTACAGACAAGGTGGCCGGGGGTTGAAAAGGCGACCCTCTTGCCACCAACCCGTTCACAGAACCCTAGGCATGTCTTTATACTTCTGTTGATGCTTAGATGTTAATGAGTGGCTGCTGCTGGTGAGATCCAGCCAAAGAGTTGCGTCTGGATTCTGAAAGTTTGGATCCGGGAAGCGACTGCTCCTTTCAGAAGCCATTCGTCTCAGCAGCCCTGCATGTTTCTTCCTGGCGCGATCGCCTGGGTATATACCCCCAGCCTTTTCCTGCTGAGCTCTCGCCCAATTTTCGCCACGCTAACCGACTCTTCTGGCTCTGCGCCCTGGCCCACTCCTTGCAGGAGAAAAAAGCAAATGGGTAGTTGTCAAAATTATGGACCTTTTTGGGTACCCTAAATATTAGTTGCCGTATTATAATAGGGACCCAAAAGGGACCCTAATTTTGACAACCACCCGAATCTGAATCTGAGGAAGTTGCATCGGCCATGGGCCCGAAGACGGTTCCTTTCTTATGGGGGACGAGTCCAGGTACAAGCTTGACATGCTGTCGAATGCGCACTTCACGCCGTCACCTCGATAGCCAGTCTTGTGAGCTGAGCGATGTGCACCTTTGCCTTTGTGATTGTTGCCAGTCTCACTACAGTTCTTCTGATGCTTCTACGGCTCCAGGTGAAGCAGAGTCGCCCTGTACGAGGTATCTGATTCTTGCTGTTGCGGACTTTGGGGGCCCAATTTGTCGGACCATGCAGCTTGTTTTCGATTCCGGCTTTTTGTCAGCCAGTCTGTCGGGTTGCCTTCTTCTTTGTACGGTGTGTTTGTGTGTGGGTGTGGTGTTTGTGTGCGTGTGCTAATCATAACTATAATATATGTATATCAGTATATACGTACGACTAGCATGCTCTCTCTCTCTCTCTCTCTCGCCCATTCTCCAAAAGCAAAAACAACATACGTACGTATATGTATGTCGCACACATGTAATACGCGTAGAACACACACACACACACAATGCCCCAGTCTTCCTTTCTGCTATAGTTCTGGTGCCCGGCTCCTGAGGCCTAGACCGCCCATGGCTGGCTCTTCGGCAGAGGGCCTGAAGGTGGGAGCCTGAGATTGACAAGTCTCGGCCCAGGCTGATGCAGTAGTTCGTGCTAGTAAAGTTTTGGAGTTTAATTTGGGGTATAGGTTTGGCAGCCTAGCTGCATCATGCCAATCAGATCCAATCAGACGATGCGTCGTGGCAGTTTCCTGCAGGTGCCTTCCCTCAAAATGGAGGCTGCGACTGAGCTCTGCGTGTTTGGATTCTTGATGCTCTTCTTGAAGCTCAGCTTTGCAGCCCAACACCGTGCATCTTGTCTTGTACAACACAGCCAGAGTCTAGCGCAAGCTGATGTGAAGGGTTCGAGACGGCTGTTCCCAAGCCAGGAGACGATACCACTTATGGTTTCCGATGCCACGTTGCAAGCGTCCCGGCCCCAGAGCCGCCGCCACCGAAGCTTGTTCGGACTTCCGTTCGCCACAGGCCGGAGGAGCGGCGAGCACCTCGCCGCCACGTCAAGGACCCTGGCACGCTCCTGGCACCAGTCTGTGAGAGGTCTTTGTTTGAAGGTGGTGCAATGCAATGCAACGTGGCTTCGTTTGAAGAGAGAGGCTCTGAGGAATGCCCGACCCGAGCATGGGTGCAACTGGCTGTGCTAGCACTCGGCTCGCCGCAGGATCAAGCGGAGCTCACCCCAGACGAGAAAGCAGCAGCCAGGGCCCTGGCTGGTAGCTGGCCGCTCCAGCCATGTGAGCTTCAATGGGTATTCATATGCTGTTAAATCTAGAATAGTCATATGATAGACTACAAAGTCTAAGCCTGATTATTTGCGGCTCGATGCCTGAAGTCAAGGTGCGCCGCACACGCAAAGCTGCGAGAACAAAGCGGCTTCAAGACAAGGCCGAACGTTTCAGTCAAAACGGTTTAGGGTATAGAGTGAGTAGAGCATTCAATGACTCAAGCGTGCCAGCTTCAAACGCCTTGAGCCTCTCTCCGTGGCTGTTCCACGACGTCTGCAGCTCTGCTCCAGGTGGAACGCGGCGAGATGTCGCTGGAACCTCGGCACACCCCCAAAGAGAACAGGAAAAGACCCAGAATGAAGAAATGTTCCTTGAATTCTCGCAGTTTCGGCTTTCGGAGCTCTTTTCTCTACAAGACATTTGGTTTTTCGGGATATCATTTATCATCCTTCTATCGTTTAGCACAAGAACGGTTATGGCAGTCTCTCGGAGTTCGGTGAGGAGGCCAACCAAATCACCTAAATCTCAAGCCAGAGCCTTAATTCAAAACACTTGACAAAACTTAATTGCAAAGATGCAAAAAGCAGTGCAATCGGTACAGCTGCAGGAACGCTTTAGGACACAACCAGCACAACGGTGGGCTAAAAGCTTGAGGAACATTCAAGACCCCTTAACCAAGACCAGGTGGACGCTTTGGGCCTCTCCCCCTCAACGAGAAATTGAGGATTTTTCGTGATCTATGAAGTACCAGGGCTCCTCAGAAGTTAGTTACAGGAATATGAATCAAGGACCCTTCGTTACGGGATGGTGAAGCCTCATCGGAACACCCTTGTGAATCCTTTCAAGATCTGTCCACAAAGGATTAAAGAAGGGCCCGCTTCGTGACCTGCAAAGAGCCGGTTGTAAGGGACCCCGTGAAAACCGTTAAGCTCGTACACCGCATACTGCGTTTCCGACGACTACAGATTCGTAGGTTTTTGTGGGCTTATACGGCTAGAGTCACCTTTCGGATACCTATATACTTATTGCTCATATCTAACTTACGAAGCCTGCTCTGAGGGATCCGTTTTGCATCGCTTCGGAGGCTCGCCGATCGTCGGGCCCGGGATGCCAAGCTACAGGAGAAGAACAAGGCGGCAAAGCAGGAGAAGGCTGCGGCGCGGATTTTTTGGGGGTTTGGGAGGTTTTGGAGCTTAGTCGATTTGAGTGCAAGGCCGTTTCGAGTTTGGTGCATGGCGTTTGGGAGTCAAGGGTTTTAGGAAGTTTAGGGAGGGCGTGTTGGGGTTTGGAGTGTTCAGTGTTGGGAGATGTGTTCGGCTTTTGCTGGGTCTCGGTCCGTCTTCCCATGGACACTTCTCATCACAGCCACCTGCTGAAGTTGCCGCTGTGTGGCCAATCTCCACGTGGAGATCCCAAGTCTGAACATCCCTCCGATACGGCTCTGCTGAGAGTTCGGTCGACTGTGGACCTTGAGTCCTTACACTGTAAGGGTGACCCCCGGGTTAAGTCAAGAGCTCACACGCATCTCGCCGACGGGAGGGAGAGGGAGAGAGAGAGACAGAGACCGAGAGAGCGAGAGAGAGAGACAGACAGACAGAGAGAGCGAGAGCCATCGGAAAGCATCGACCTTTCGGTGCATGGTCATGTTGAGAGCAGCTTTCAATAAAGGCTCTTCGGACATGCTGGTCGATGCCATCTCTTTCTCCGCAGCTGCTCAGCTCAAACTCTATGAGAGACATGAATGCTCGAGCTTCTTTCTCCACGCGATCCGCCAGCTGCAGATATGCTCATCGGGGCATCGTAATGATGAGTCTGGGTCGCCCGAAACTTCCTCTCTGAGTTTCACACATTCTCAACCTCAAGCCCTGAAGCCCCACACTGCAAACCAAGCCCTGAAGCCATAAACACCCATTTGGCCTCGAAACCCAAACATGGCCTAAAAAAGCCCTCGACCCCAAACCCAGCCTCAGCCTACTGCCCCCTAAACCCTAAACCCTCAACCCCAGACCCCAATGACAAGCCCTAAATACCCTAAACCCCGAACCCTAAGTCAACCGTAAGCCCTAAGCCCCAAAAGTCGCTGGAGCCTGCCATGGGTCCTCGCCGTCGGCCGCAACCTTCGTTGCTTTCTGGGCTGCAAAAGAACAGCGCGGGGTTTGCAGTTTTGGGTCTGGGGTCCTTTGCACAGCCAAGGCTTCGGTTGTTCTTTGGGATTTTCATCTTCGGATCTTTGATTTTCTGAGACGAGCAAAGAAGTGGGAGTGTATGGAAGTTTCGGGAGAATGCTGTGAAGCCCCATAGTACTTCTCTAGAGGATATCAGAGTCTGCCACTCCGGGGTCAGGGAAATGGGGCGCCCACAGAACCCCGATAGAGAACACTGCGCAGTGCCATGGCGGCTTGTTAAAGCTAGGGCCCCCTTTGTTTGTGAGGCCTGAGAATAAGTAAGGATCCCAGCTTGTACGAGGCTGTAACTCTGGTTGCTCGGAGGAGGGGAGAAATGCTAGCAGACTTCCTGCTAAACGAGGAAGCCTCCCTTTCTCTGACACGCATTTTGTACAAAGGCCATATAGAAACCTCAACAGTAGGAGGATCCACAGAAAGACTCTGTGTAGTCCCAAATGTCAAGAAAATCCGAGCAGCAGAGTGAAGCAAAGTCGCTCCTTCGTGCGAGGCTCTTCTTCCTCGTCGTGGGGCTCCCTTTCGGGAGCAATGGTTTCCTGGGCAGCACTTGGGATGTAGAGTTCAGGACATCAGGGTGTAGTTGAAGCATGCCGAAGCCCTACAACCCCAAATCACACCGGGATAGACTGCAAGCAGTCAAACAGTACCTGGCAATCGAAGTTCATGAATCCAAAGCGGCAACCCTGGCCTTGCGGCGACCCCCCTCTCTTGGCCCTAAGCGTAAGAACCGAGCGTTGCCACCCTGCTGGGGGAAGGAAAAAGGCCTCCTTAACGTCGTTGAGGCGGCTATCACTATGGTAGCCGGATCCGGATCACGGTAATTAATCAGTACTTCAGGGGTGAGTCATGTGGTCTCCTTGGAGATCTCTGTGTCGGGATGCCCAGGCTCGGAGTTCGCGATTTCCGACAGCGAGGACTCTGTCCAGTCATCCCCCCAAGAAAGCCCCGACCGAGCCCACTAAACTGTAATCATCTCGGAAAGTTCCTTAATATGAAGAGATCCTGCTCATCTCTTGTGTACGCTTGAGCCATGCTCCTTAAGTCAGCCCTTCGGGCGTCTTCTCCCCGTAGCTCCAAATCGAAAGACGCAAAGCCCTCATGTGCGTTGCTGTGGCCCTGCAAGCCTCAAACCCTCAACCCGCGACTCGACACTCCCCAGAAGCCTGCATAGAACATCAAGCTCTTGTAGTACTGTAGGGGCCTCAATAATTACCAATACTATTTTGGGGGCTCCTTCCTTGTTATACGTATAGTATGATGGGCCCCAGAACCCCACCCCAACCATAAAGCCCCCTATATTAGTACAAGAGCATTTGTGTCAGACCTTCTGAATCCCCGGAAAGCCGCCTTTACAACATCTCGGGAGGATGGTGAACTGGCGATGTTCCCCCGGCCAGCTTGGCAACGATGCGAGGCCAGGTTGCTACGGCTGATGATACAAATCCTGCATGACCCGTTTTAATAAGGAATATACCATAATTCCCATAGTGTAGGGTCCTTAAGGTAATGCAGGATTTACATCATCCACCGTAGCTCCACAGGTTTGTACGTTGTGATTCAGGGTGTACCTCGGTCTGGAGGTTTCGAAGCTTAGCTCCAACAGCTCAAATTCTTAGGGGCTTCAGTGATTGGTCGAGACTATGCGAAGAAAGGTGCCGATGGTTTCCATGGCCTTAGTAGCATAGAAGCCACGACATGGGAGTTTCCGAACATAGGGGACCACGATATAGTGCCCTAAATAGTAGGATCCTGATTAGAAGGACCCCGCAATATGGTGCCCCTACTTTTCGGAAACCCTATACACGTTTATAGAGCCCTTTAAAGGAACCCTTATAGCAACCCTTAATTCTCGGACACCCCCCATGAGCCGCAGAGCCTCAGCCCCCGAGTCGACGAGCTGCAGAGGCCCTGGGAGCTTACGCCTGCGCCAGCGACGGGGGAACATCCTCCGACGTCCGCTCCGAGTTCTGCTGCTGCCCGGAGGCCGGAGGCAAAAGCACCCACAAAAGCCTCGTCGTATACGTCTATAAGCCCATAAGGCCACAAGGTCCAACACAGATCCCGCGGACCCCATAATTTGACCCCCGCAAACCCCATGAAAAGGCAGGGGGCTGAGCATCTCTTTTGAGGCGCGGCCATGCCGTCGCAAGCAGCAGAGATGGGGCCTGGTTCTGACCCCAGCTTCGCCGAGCTCCGGGGTGGCGGTTTTGTGGCTGACAGGGTTTTGGGAGTAGGATTGAGTCTGGAATCAAGCCTGATGTGGGCAGTGTAAATGCACACCATTGGGCAGCATTGACCTATCTCTTCTGGTCATGATCGCTTTTGTTCGAGACTCGAATTTCATCCCTCAGTTGCCGAGCCGGAATTCGCTTGTGGGCTTTGGGGAGCATTTGCGCCTCCACTGAGACATCCTTCCCGCCTTCAAAGTTGTGTTTGGGACTTGAGATCTTTGCAATGCCTCTGAGAATGCTGCTTAAGGTTCAACATCACTTGATCTTTAGGCCTTTCGACCGTCTGTCTGAATCCACTCCGGGCCAGAAATCGATTGTTCGACAGCTGCAGGTGCAGGGATCAGAATGGGGCTGCGCTCGCTGTCCTGGACCCGGCGGCGTTTCAATCAGACCCACCAAAATGTGCGCTGAGCAGCGCTATGAATGGAAGCAACACCCGTTGACACTTCATTGTTGTCTGCTGGCTGGAGCTGTTGGATCTTGAGCTCCAGTGCCAGAGATAGTCGCTACTTGCAGGATCTTTCGTCCGCTGGCGCGATCGGGAAGGCTTCGCCGCGGAGCGATATATCGCAGGCCGGGCACGGAAGCGCCATCCAATTTGCAAGCAGAAGCAGAACTTGGATATCAAGCCCGGATCCTTGTCAGGGTAAGCTGGCTGTTATGATTGGAACTAATCTGAAAGCCGAGTTTAGAGCCACTCCGGGAGCTCGCAGGCCTGATGCTGGCACCAAGGAGCACCATCACTTTGCAGGCCAGGGTGGTGCTTACCTTCCCACTGGCTTAGGGCTTAGGGTTGGGGTTTAACTTTCGCGCTTTTTCCACACGTTTGGAGCATCTGAGGGGCAGCCTGGCTGTCGGCTGTCTCTGCATCCCGACCCAAGCCCGCTCCATCGTTTCTTGCTATGTTCATGAGTCGTACTCATGGTCAGCGTTAATTAGCAACCGTTAGCAACATCGTCGTCATCATCCTCATCGCATTGTCATGGTTTCATGTCACGATAGTTGCTGTCGAACACCTGTATCATTGCCAGAATAAAGTTGTATACTATCGTGGCCTTTCGTGCTGTTGCTTGCTTATCCCAAAGCCTTAACCCGAAGACAGCGTCCGAAAAACTAAAGCCCTAAACCCCAAACTCTATTGCCTAACCTTGAGGTTAGGTAGAACCCTGCATGTTATAAGAACCCGAAAATCGAACGATTCAGCTCCAGAGTCAGATCCTGTGGAGTTCCGCATCGGCCCAATTTTTGCCAGGCGCTCCTCCGCATTTGGGAGGATCCCCGGTGGCTCACAGAGGACAACCTTAAGCTACCCTAAAGGCCCTAACTGGCCCTAAAGCGTTAAACTCAAGACCCGGTACTTTTTTTTGTGGGGATCTTGCAGAGTCTCGGGCGTTTTGGAGTCATACTCGTTCAGAGGTTTGGGGTTGGTTCTGGGAGGCAGCGGCGCTTGGTGGCGTCTTCAGACTGTTATGTGTTTTCTGTTTCGGTTTGTGGGTTTCAGGTTTACGGAGGAGTTGCTGGGAGATTTGCAGGGCTACCATGGGCCTGGCAAGACTCGCAAGGGCCGAAGATATGCGGACGCATGCGGAGGGGGGTGGAGGGGGTTCTGACGGCCAGGATTCCGACTTGAATTGGGGGATCATACCAAAAACAGGGTTCCGACTGTGCTATGGTTTCTTTCGGAGTCCAGTATGTTCTTAGAAGTCTCGAAAGCGTGGGTGCCGCAGGATGCGGATGCAGATGGCTTGTCAAGCAGCGCTGTAGCAAGGACCCTTGTTGCCTGCTGCTGCTACAGTGGTTGCATGAATATCAGCATGCTCGCAGTTGTTGCAAGTTGCAAGCCGCTTTCTGAGGTCTGGTGGGCTGCCTTAGCCGTCGCGCCGCAGGCGCGAGGGCCTGTGCACAAGCTTATAGGAGATGCTGCATCTTGTTGGTTTCGGCATCCCAAATCATTTGGGCCCTGCGAGCTTCAGACGGCTGTTGCAGGTGTTGGAATTCGACCGCGTTGTCGCGTTTGCCGAGGACTCCTTCTGGCCGCGGCCTGAAAGCGTTGCTGCATGAAGCAGGTATTCTGCACGTATGCAGAGCAACATGAGCGATCCAAGAGAAGAGCCTGCGCAAGGAGCAATGGCGACTGTGAACACCCACCAAAAGACTGCAAAGTACAAGACGAGCAGCAAAAGAATCCAGAATGAATGAGAACAGCCCCTCCAAGAACTACACTTACGACGGTACTCCTGATGGTAAGATGTCAACCCTAAGCCAGAAATTTAAAACCCTTGTGAATTAAAGTTTCGACCCTGAAACCAATACTGGCACAATACGCGGGTCGGAGGAAATTGCCTACAATATTTCTGCGCGCTTCTTGAGATAAACTACAGCGGGATATACCCGAAGCGCTATTTCGAGCTAGTCATTGTGGCCCATGTGCCAGAGCCCTCATCATAACCCTTACAATGTTTATCGGAATCCTTTCTAAAGGAACCCCATTCTTATTCTTAAGGCCCATATACTAAACCCCAAACCCATAAACACTCAATCCTACTGAAGCCCTTCAAGCGGGAACCCTTAAACGAAGCCCTTATCCCCCCATTCTAACTAATATGGGGGTCTAGATAAGTACCAATACTATTGTGGAGGTTCCTTGTTATAATTATTGTATAATGGGCCCCAAAACCCAATTCTGATTATGAAGGCCCCTATATTTATGAAGGCCCATGAATTGCCCGAGAGGTGGGCCCTGGGAGTTGCGCACGCCTTGACCGGCCACCTCCTTTCCGAGGCACCGCGGCCTCAATGGAATACTATAGGGGTCTTAACAATTAGAATAGGGTTTTGGGCCCACTATAATTATAATAAGGGACCCCCAAAGTAGTGCAGGTAATTAAACCTGCAAACACCATTTCAGGCTTGGGGAGAAGTTTGGGGTCTGCAGAAGTGTGGAGTTTTTGGCAGTGTGGGTAACGGGATTCTTGTTACAGGATTCTATAGTGTGGAGTCTGCTATAGTGGCGGGTCTGTACATTGGTTCTAAAGAGGTGCCCTGCTATTTTTGGAGATATTGATGGACAATGAGAGTGTTTCAATCGCTCCACCATCCCTCTTGTTGCAGGCTGCTTTCAAGGATCCCGGTTTTGCTTCCAGGACTATTGCTTACCTACAGGATTTCGGAGTCTAGCAACCATGCCAACCAATGTACATGCCTCGATAAAAGCCCCACAGACTTATTTAATGCACTATACAACCCCTGCTATAGCAAACCCAATATTCAAAAACAACTTGATTTACACAACTTTGTCAAGAAGCACCAACAATCCCTCTGTTCTTTCTGAGAGGCCGGCTTGCTTCTCCGGCTGCTGCTGGTCCTCTTAGGCCGGCAAAAACGTGCTGCAGAGTTTTGGGATCAATGTAGGATCCTGAAAAAAGGCCTTGGGTTTTGGGGATTTAGGGCTCAGGGGCATAGGGTTTTGGGGCTTTAGGGTTCAGGGGGGCCTGGATAGATAGCATTAGCACTACCAGCCCTTTGTAGCCCCTGAACCCTCGCCCTCAATCCTCAACCCTAAACCCCCGTTTCCTTCACAGTAGCCCTTCTACTTACTATCAGCGACTGGCTTTCAGGAGTTTTGGAAGGGTTGGGGGGGCACTGGGGGGGCGGATGTTTGAGAGGTTTGGGGGCCTAGAGTCTCACTACAACGCCGTTGCAGATGGTGCCTAAACCTTCGTGGGACCGTCCTGTGGAATCCGCTTCATTGCTGCATTGCTTGATGGCACATGCTAGAACTGTCTTATGAAGTCTTCGCAGCACCCTTATTTCTTGTACTGAATCACAAACCTCTACAACCCAGACCCCCGCAAGGATCTAGAAAGTAGCTCCCCTAATTTGGGGCCCTATACTACTAAGGGTACTTTATAGGAACCCCCAATTAAGGGATCTACTTTTTGGATCCTCCCGGGGTCTGGGAAGACAATACCCTGCTAGTCCAACCCCACCTTGCATTCATCAAAAGAACCCTTGATGGGGGTTCCTATAAAGTACCCTTAGTAGTATAGGACCCCAAATTAGGGGAGATCGAACTTTCAAGCCCTATGTGACTGGTTTCGAACCTTATCTAGTCGGTGAGGCAGCGCTTGTAAACTATATGATCGCGCCTGTCGACCCTACCTACTTGAAGGCTCCTGGATACTTGTATGCTTATAGGTTCCTTGTACAGGGTTTTAAGACAAGACCCGTATGGTAGCCTGATGATGATAACCCTAATTACTATAAGCCTCCTTGGAATGCGAGAAGGTCTCCACGGCCGAGCGGGGCGTCGCGTCGCACTGCAGGAGGGCAGAAATTGGGAGGATTCTGACTTAGGGTTCGACCGGGCTTTAGGGCTTTGTTTGTGCGGGGACTTAGAGGTCCCGGTTTAGGGGCCGACGATGGCATCCTGTTCAGATGTGTTGCGGAACTCAGTTCGAGTGCGCCTATTGCAAGCAACGCGCTTCCTTATAATGTTATCTAAGGTCATGGTCTGTGTAGCCCTCGAGCAATATACAAAGCACTGCAGCCCTTACTGCGAGACTTTGCCCGTGTTGGAGTCAAGGCTATGCTTCAAGAGCAAACATTACATGGCGGGCTTCGTGGTTCTAGCCAACTTTTGCCAGACTTGGCGAGCATCTGATCACAAAGGAAGAGAGTCATATGTGTATATGTGTTTATATTGAGGCACATGCTGTCGTTCAAGACAGTGAGTCTTGCCATGTTGTGAGTTGGCTGCACAAGTCTCTTATCGTTTGTAAGCAATGGGTTCTTCGTGTGGCACTATATGCCATAAGCTTCGGACGTGCACATCGCTGTGAGGAGCTCCTGCTGTTTGCCCACAGCGGCGCGCGATGCTTTGTTGTGTGAACGCACC